CTTGGGAATGTTTATCGGGATTCCTTCTGTTGTGTTTGGAAATCAATAATTTATTCATTGAGATTGGTGTGTGCACATATGTTAGTTTTTGGTGCTTCAGTTAAGTTGAACTTGAAAAGCCGCTTTGTGCACTCACTAACATCGGTTAACAAGTTTGAGTTGTTGAGGAATAAATATTTTGTTAAGCTGCTATGAAGGTAACAATAAGATTTCAAATCAATTCACTACCCAGGGAAAAAAAAATTAAAGACGATTTCAATTAAAAACTAAAAGCTACTGCAAAATACTTATTATATTGGGAATTATATCTGATGATTTGCAGGGACCTAAATCGCAAAAGTCTGTTTCGCAGTTGGTTATGGATTTGTTAGGTGCACATACATCTTGGGAAGGGTTTAACTTACATAGAATGGGCAACCATGAAATGGAGGATGGGAAACTCATAATCCCCTTGGGTTTGCAGTGCGTAACCCATTTCCTAGCAATGGATGTATGATAAATGTAAATTTTCATCTTACCTTTGTATCAGGTGTGATGAATTAAAAATGTTTTTCACATCCTGAAAGCTATTGTCATTTGCCAGCATTTAGAAACACTGGAACCGAAATTATTGATTCTAAACACTCTAGAATAAGATGCCTAAAAACCTATCCCGTGAAAACAAGTTCTACTTAAATCGTAACTACGCATATATCAGTCTGAAAACTTAAGAAACCTGAATATCATCTTCACTCACGTTTAACATATACATCTCGTTTTTTTCATGTCTAAAATTATTGTTGTTTGTGCCTCTAAATAAACTGGATATTCAACGGCACAGAAAACTGGATCGTATATGATGATAGGATGATGATAAGGATACTAATAATAATAGGCACAATTGGTTTCGAATCAAATAAACCCAAAATTCTTGTTCCAAATCCAAACAACCACAATGGCACATCAATTATCATACAAAAACAACAACCAAATAAGCCTAACGAAGCACAAAGATCAATACGAACCGGTCGAGCAAACTCAATCTTAATGGGGTTTCCACGCAGAAGGGCGCCTTGCAATGACTCCTTGGCCGCCGCAGAGTCCTCCACACGCTTGAAGAACACGAAGCCGTAGCTCCGCGACGAGTAGGTGGTGACGCTATCTAACGCACCGTACTGGGCAAAGAGGTCCATGAGCTCAGAGTCGGTGACGTCACTCGCTAAGTTCCCGACCCAGAGATTGTTCGACGGCGTCTCCGAATCGTCTGTGCCTTGCTTGCTCGGTTTGGCAGCAGGCGCCATTGTGATTGATTTGAATTGAATTGAAAACTGAATTGAAACCCTAGACGCGACTGGATTGAATATGGGGAAAGTGAGTAATTGCTGGATATATATATGTTCTTGGGTTAGGGTTTGAGAGATTTTTTATGATGAAACCCTAGAAATTTTGATTAAATTACGGAGGTATCTATATAATCACAGAGAGAAGATGAGAAATAAGCGAGGAGGGATCCTTCGAGACGTTTATCTATGGGATCATCCACAAAATATTGAAATGACAACTATACCCCTATCATTCATATAATCATGAAATGACAAATATACCCCTAAATTTTAGGGAAAACATTATTTTTGGCCCTTGTCATTTCCCCCTTTTTACCACTTTGGTCCAAAGGTAGTTTCAATTTTTCAATTTTATTGTTATAGGTTTTCAATTTCATTAGTTTTTTTTTATTTTTTTATTTTTCAATTTGGAGTAGTTCAAGGACACATTTTAGTTTTTGTCAAATTTCTCCAAATTCCGTTAAGTTTTGACCACTTGCCTCTTCACGCAAACAGGTATTTTATCTACTCATACCAAAAAGAGATATGGAGGGAGGAGAAATATAAATAAAAGAAAAGAGAGGTAAGAGTGACACAATATTGCCGAAACTTTTTTTTTCCTATTTTTATTTTTATTTTATTATAAAAGGAAAAATTGGAAGTCAATTTATAGCTATACAAATAACTTCAATTTTCTTTTGAAAAAAAAAAGTGTAAAACTTTGAATGGAAGTAACATGGTGAAAATGATGCATAGTTAAATCTATTTGGTCCTTAAAAATCTTAATAATTCTATGATTTGAATCTTTTAAAATCCATAAGTAAAAAATATTAATTATAGAAATCTATAATTAAAATTCTATAAATCATTACATTCTGCTTATACACTAGAGTTTTTTTTTTTTTAAATTTAATTTATTTATTTTAAAATTAGAAAAATGGATAGTTGTGTTCCATAAAAATATGATCCATTATCTGATTTTTCTATTAATTTTAATTTTTTAGATATGAAAAAGTGTGAATTTACCATATTATCATCATTTAATTAATAATTTCAATTCTTAATGTTTACATTAACCAAGGGCATTTTCTGGTATTTTGAATGTCTTACCATTTTCTCATTTTTTATTTATATATATACTAGCCTCTTGGCACACGCTCACGCATGTGCCAATTGGTTTTCTTTTTTATTTTTTATTTTATTTTTTGAATTAAAAAAAGATAATATGGGTAGTTATGTTCCATAAAAGTAGGAGTTATTATGTGATTTTGTTTTTAATTTTAATTTTTTTAATATGAAAAAATGTGAATTTATCATATTATCCTCATTTAATTAATAATTTTAACTAGCCCCTTCACGCATGTGCCAATTGGATTTCTTTTTTATTTTTAGAATGAAGAAAAAATAATATGGGTAGTTATGTTCCATAAAAATAAGATCTATTATCTGATTTTGTTTTTAATTTTAACTTTTTTTTAATATGAAAAAAATGTGAATTTACCATATTATTCTCATTTAATTAATAATTTCAATTGTTAATGTTTGAATTAACCAAGGGCATTTTATGATATTTTGAATGTTTCACTATTCTCGCATTTTGCTTTATATATATAGATTGTTAATGTTTGAATTAACCAATGACATTTTATAGTATTTTGAATGTTTCACCATTCTCTATCTTTTGCTTTATATATATAGATAAAGTCATTATTGGTCCCTATAGTTTGCCACTTTTACCACTTTGGTCCCTATCGTTTCAATTTGATCAATTTTGTCCTTATAGTTTTCAATTTAAGAAATTCAATGATAATTCTCAATTTTTGTCAAATTTTTAAAACTTCTATTACTTGTGAAAGGGCAATTCCGTCAAATTATTAAAAAATTAATTCTTTTTAAAAATAAACAATACAAAATAAATTTTTAATTATATATATATATATATATGTATTCTTCTCCATCTCTCCCGTCCGCTCCCTTTCCCCTAACTTCATCAGACCACCACCCACCACCACTCCAACCCCACCTAACATCCAACTCTTGCCACCCTCCCACCACAAAACTTCTGAATAAACTCGACCTCTCTCTCTCTCTCTCTCTCTCTCTCTCTCTTCTCCCAAACCTAGCCTCGACACCCAAGGAGTCACCCACTCCTCAAAGACCTCCAGATCCCCCTCCCTAGCCCTCTGTTCTAAACCCACCCTCAGCTTCATCAAAATGGTCATCAATTGCAACGGTGACAATGCCAAGGTTCTGAAAATTCCCAAAATTTGCATCCACTACATGAACGCCATTGAAGAAATACTGGAACACATCAGATAAAAAGCAACAATAAGCACAATACTTAATGATGGCATCTGTTGATGCTCTTTTTGGGAAGGTCAACTTAGGTAAATGAGTATTGGATCTTCAGCAAAGGGGGAAAAGTTGTGGACCTTCGGTATGAAGGATCTTGTAGAAGGAAACAAGGAAGAAGCAATCGTCAAGCTTCGGGCACCGGTGTAATACCTGTCGAAGGCTCTCTGATACTTAAGTCAGTAAGTATATGTGGTAATTTTGGCAGAGTAGCAATAAAAGTGGAAAGTACTTAACCTTTATACTTGGGCACTATTCCCTATTTATAGGGAAGTAAAAATGAGAGTTTTGCATAAAGTTTCGATGTGGGACTTTGTGCAAACTGTTGTGGAGGCAACACGTGTCCATGGAAACTAGGTTATGTAGTTGAGAACATTGGCATGCAGTTACCGCTTCGGAAGGAGGTCTTCCTTTGGTAGGTTAAGAAGGTGATGATGTTACTCGCTTTCTAAGAGCTTGTCTGTGTGTCTTTTTCGGAGCGTTCCTTCTCTTTGGCAGCCCGTGCGTCTGCCCTAGTGTCAGTCGTCTAATGCCGAATACGATTGGTTGATTATGGTATAAACAACATTTGAAGGTATAGGTCATGAATCCATTACATATCTATATTTTAAATAATTGTCAATCATTGCAAACCAGACATATCTTTGTTGCACCTATATATTGCAATACTTTTTAAAATACACCTGAAAGTTTTTGGGCTTGAAACTCTCTGAGCTCGGCCGCAAACCCAGAGAAACCATGTTTATAACTGTATATCATTAATTTTGAGGCCAATTCCTTGGTGGGGTCGGGGAGGATGATAGGGGCGGTGGGGTTTGGGTAATCTGGGTATCTTCTTTACTTATTTTTTGTTTTTTGTTCTTTTATTATTGGTTTTTTTTTAGGGGGTTTTGGTTACCTTTGTTTTTGGACTGAAATGCCCCTCAATAATTAACAGCAGTTGCTCTAGACATGGATCAAAGTTATAGTGGTAAAAATGGCAAACTACAAAAACCAAAAACGCGTTTTTGCCAAATAAAAAATACAAAGCTTGTTAGCATCGAACTTTACGCCTTCTGTGGACTCTATGTCAATAGTAGGCATTTTGCCATCAATGGGCTTTACGCCTGTTTGTAAGTTTCTGTAGTTGGCGTTATGCCATTTTATATGGCATTTGTTTGAAATCATTCATTGAGTTCACTGCTTTGTCTCCCTTACAATGAAATTTACAGATTTCGACCAAAAAAGAAAAGACGATAGCATCGAACTGACATAAAGCACTCAATCCTGCTATTTATAGCGCACAGACGTGACAAAGGAAATGATTTATACCGCCTAAACTTTAAGGTTAACACTAACAAAAGGAGAAGAGTCTGTAATGTGGTAATTATTTTGTTGGGTTTACACGAAATTTATATTTTCATACAACCCTAAACTAGCAGAACATTGAATTTGTCCAGTTAGAAAAACTATGCCCAAATGCCATCCAAGTGGTAGTGGCAGCTACTTCAGATGCTAATTGTCACATATGACGCATCAAAATTCCATGTTTCTCAAGAAATAGATGCACAGAAGCAGGTAGATTTGTTCTAAAAAATCCAAAAACCAGCATTATACTATTGAACAGAAGCTTCGCAACTTCTGATTCATACTGCTCGTATATGGAATACAGCATGAAAGCTAACACCAGTGCTGCAAAATATATCCAACAAGATCAATATGAAGTTCCAAAGTTCAAATTAATATGAGACTGATTAACTCTAGCATGGTGAAACTGGCATTCCCTTACATACACCAATCACCACAGTGTGACGAAATCAACTTGAGAAAATAGAGGGGAGCTGCAAACTGCATTGATCACAAAAGATTATTGTAAGATGTCCGCAAAAGAACAACTGCTGTCAATGAAACTCTCCATACATATCAAAGATTGAACAAAGAAATATCAAAATTTGCCCATAGAAACGAGAGATTTATTGATAAAACAACTGTGGTAAAATTAAAGAAATGTATCAAGTTGATGCAACCAATTTGTACACAAATGAATACAGGGAAAAGGAAAAGAAATTCAATGCAAACTTCTTTGAACTGGATCTGCAATTCATCTTTAGTCAAAAGGACCAAGTAAAGATGGAGGTATTGAAATGACCGAGCCTTGATTGTGCGCTATTGTTTTTAAAGATACTGAAGAATGCTAAAGATCTGATATTTATGTCAAATTTCATTCAGGGAAAAAGGCAAACATACATACTCGTACTTCACGCCTCAACAACAACAAAGATTTCCCTAAGCTGGGTTACATTATTGAACTTTCATATTTCGTTATCTCCAAAATCAGTTACATATTACTTAAGCCATAGCCTGCATTTAACTATGGGGAAAAAAAAAACATAATTCCTTGACACAAATAACAAACAATAAAGCAAGCACCACTGCTGTAATTCAAATGCCAAGAGCATTCCATCGTTTTAGGATCAACTAAGACACCTAATTATCATTTCTCCAACAAGTATTATAAGTAAGTTACACAATAGGTTTTGGAAGTAGCATTCGAAGCTTCTTAACTAGCACTCACAGTCAATTGCAGTGTAATTAACTTAAACACTCCAAATTGAATAGTTAAATATAAAAGCTAAATTGAGTAGTCAAATTTTCCTAATACACCAAAGAATTTTAACTAAACCTGCAATGCTCATACCCTGTGCTCGAAAAAGGTTATAGACAGAAATTACATGAAACATGAAATTGGAAAAATACTTGTAGAGTCATGCACTTCATTCAAAATAATATATTATCGTAGTCCATACCTTGAAGAAATTTTCCCAATCATCACCTAGGGCCAGTAGTCTCATATAACAAACCCCTCTGTTCCACAAATATGCTATGGTCACAATCATGTCTTTCACTACCATTTCAGGGATCCAAAACAAGATAAAGATAAACCCTTTGGAAAAAGGATGGTTGCAATCAAGTCTTATGATACTTTTAAATGTCAGATGGACATGTAAGATGTAACAAAAAGGATGTTAAATCAAAGCACAATGAAATGGTGGGAAATAATTTTCAAAAGTATATTGAACATGGAGAGAAACATATCAGACAAGTCACAAGCGAGAGAAGTTGCAACTGAATGAATAATAACAGCAATTTCAAGCTTTTGCAATCAAGTCTTATGAATTTTTTAAATATCATGACTTGAAAATCTCTATGTTGATAGAAGAAGAAAAAAACATGTGAACCAATAAAGAAAGATCACAAACAACCAACAGACATGATAGGAATAGATGCATAGGAAACCTTACTTCCAGTGAGTATCCAATCTCGTTTTGAGCTGCAGTGCAGTCGAAACCAAGTCCATCGGGCCCTGAACACACACACACACAAAAAAAAAAAAAACCCTAATTAAGAAAAAATGTCAGAAAGAAAAGAAACAAAATTCAACGCATGGCCATCAAATTTCTGATTTTCCGCTTTCTTTCCGCGGCTTCCCAAGCCGGAGAGTTTTTTATTCTCTGCAATTCAAAAGAAATGAGGGCCTCCACTGGATCCAGAACATGAAGAAGTATTCTCGGCAGTGGAAGGCACTCGTCGCCCCAACGGAATTCGATTTCCTGGGTAACTCTTGAGATCAAAGCCGTCAGCTTTCGGCGGACGATTTCGTCAAGCTCGTCGGCGTCGGCCATTTGATCCGGCGAGCAGTTGATCGACGATATTTGACGTAGAGCGTCAGAGAGAGAGAGACGATTCAAATTTGAAAATGAGAGAGAGAGACAGCGATGGTCGTGGGATTGCGAGAAAGAGAGAGAGAGAGCCAAATGTCGTCGGTCATCGGTCTTTTATAGTACTTTGCCGCGTCATAGCTACTCTACGCGGTTTTTCCAATTTCTTTTTATTTTTTTTATGTTTTTCCCAATTATGAACGTGTTTTCAGTTTTTTTTCCTTCTTTTATAAATTCTTTTTGTTCTCTTTAATGGCTTCATTTGACAATTTTGCCCCATTTAAAATTTTCATCTTTTTTTGTATTGCTAGTTCATTTTTATATTTCAGAGACACTACCTTGCACACACTATGTTGCAATGTTTATTTTGTATTGTGTAATTTTTATGTACGATTGCCAATCTAAATTAGGAAGTCTAATTAAAATCATATTTTCATGTTAGTTTTGTTAATAATTATATTTTTTGTGATAATGAAATTCTGTAATTCATCATTTTCTTGTAAAAAAAAGAAACCAAAAGTAGAGTAGTGTAAAGTAAATCAATATAATTGTAACGCCAATTAAATCAACATTAGTGACTATCACGCAACGTTTATTATAAAAATCTTAAAATACAAATACAAGAGTAACCAAAACAAAAAAAACAAAAACAAAATGCGTTGCAGTTTCTATTTTATAAACTTAAAAAATACCAATAATAGAATTACATAAAAGTACAAATTGTGTTGCATTTTCTATTTTATAAGCCTAAAAGTACCATTATAAGAGTAACACACACACACTACATTGTAGTTTCTATTGTATAAGTCTAAAAATATCGATATAAGAGTAATGTAAAAATACACACTACATTGCAATTTATATTTTATAAGTGTAAAATTACCAATATTTGAATAATATAAAAGTACACATTACACTAGAATTTTTATTGTATTAACCTAAGCCAATCGTGATTGTTGTACATGGTGTTTTATTTGTTTGTACTTAATTTTTGTTGTGGTTTAAAATATGGATGAGACTCTTAAACAAATGATAATAATGATGATTTTTGTTTCTAAAGCCAAATAGTAAAAACACAATCAAGTCACAAATTTAAGAACAAATTCTAATGGTCGCGCATCTTTAGTTTTGTGTGTATATATATTGTTTATAAGGATTAAAACTTGTAACCTTAAGTATGTCGAATTGTCAATTTTGGATTCTCTCTAGCTTGCAAGGAGAGACTAGGGTTAGGGTTTAAGTATAACTTCTGCCTCCTAGTCCATGCCGTCGTCGCGCTTCCTTCTCCCCATCCTAGGGTTTTGAATCGCTAGGGTCTCTAGTTTTCTTTTCCCTCCGATCTTCACGTCTTGTGAGAATCTGTATTCTTAAAGGTTATTTAAGAAGGTCAAACATTTTTTTTTTATTTTTTTATAATTACTTTGGTAATCAGCAACGGTTGTGGGTATTGCGAGAAAGAGAGAAAGAGCCAATTGTCGTCGGTCTTTTATAGTACCTTGCCGCCTCATAGCTACGCTATTCGGTTTTTCCAATTTCTTTTTATTTATTTGTGTTTTTTCCAATTATGAACGTGTTTTCAATTTTTGTTCCCTTCTTTTTTTTTTTTTTTTTTTTAAAATTTTAATTATGAAGAAAAGGGATAACCCTAGAAATAAAAACAATACAAATTTATAAATAAACCCAATACTAGACACGTATTTATAAAAAAACCCAAGCACTATTTAAACATAGAAACGCACCCAAAATCAACCCCAAAGTCAACTTTTTGGGTGTGTTTATAAATGGGTTTTGAGTGTGTGTAATGATGAGTTTTGGGTGTGTTTATATGTTTAAATAGTGCTTGGGTTTTTTTATAATTTCAACCCCCATTTTGGGTGTTTTAGTGAAACTCCCTAAAAACAACTAGCCAACACTAATCATCCGAGGCTTCATAGCCCCCAACAAATCATCAATAAGAACATAACTAATCTAAACTGGAGCTTCATCAAAATAGTAGACCCCCAAATCCATATTATGACTCCAATTTGAAAAATAATCTGCAGCAACATTCTTTTGCAAGTAAATATGAGTAAGCTCAACAGTTTTAAACTTACTCATCAAAGCGACACAACTTGCAATCACCCCAGCAAAAGGATGAAGACAACTAGGAACATGCTACTTGATAAGCTGAACATCAGTTATAGAATCCATTTCAATAGAGAGCCCAGCCACCCCTTTAGCAGCAGCAAGCTTCAAGCCAAAGAATAACCCCCAGAGTTTAGCATCCAGTGTTTGTCCATTTCCCAAATTGACAGCAAAACTACCCATCCAGTCCCCAATAGGGAATTTCAGATGATGCCACCAACACCAATACAGCCAGTGCCACCCTTGCGAGAGTCATCAACATTTAACTTGAACACACCATTCACTAGGGGTGGCATTTTAAACCCAAAAACTGAAAAACCGCAAAAACCAACAGACAATTTACCGCAATGAAACCGCAATCATAGTAAATCGAACCGCATTTGCAGTATTAAGAACCAAATAGCATTTGCGGTTGCGGTTGCGGTATTTGATTTTCAAAACTTGCGGTTACCGCAAACCGCAAAGTATAGCCGTACGGATGATAAGGTTAAATTCTACAAGGAAATAGAACATATGACAACTTGTAAGTAATTAGTTTATTTATGCTTCCTCTTATAATAAAATGTACTAAACTATATTGTTTTATTTGTAGATAACATTGATGCTCAAACAACATAACGGGGTTCTTCAAATCCACTTACCATCAACACTTGAGTTTGTAACTTTAGTTTGTAACATTGGTGCATTGCATTTTCCTTTTAGTTTGTAACTTTAATTAACTTTGAATTGGATTTTTCTTTTTGGTTGTAACTTTAATTCATTTTGCTTTGCATTTTCCTTTTGGTTTGTAACTTTAAAGGATTTGGAATTGGAATGCTTGAAAAATTTAACTTTAATTGGAATGCTTGGAATTGTAACTTTAATTTTCTTAGGTTGTAAATGCTTGAGAAGTTGAGGAGATAGTTAATTTATATATGCTTGAGAAATTGAGGTTGTGTATTTATTTATTTAGGTTGTGAATTTATATTTTTGTGAATGCTTGAGAACTTGCGGTTTTAAACCGCTAATTCGTGGTAACCGCGGTAAACCGCAAAACGCGGTTGGTTTGCGGTTTCAAAAATCACCAAACCGCATGTCGTCCCAAGCTTGATGGTATGCTCAGATTCAAATTTGGTTATCGTATGACAATTGGAAGAACCCTCTAAAGGTTGAGTTTGCTTCGGACTAGTTGTGAGTGGACTTTGTTTTCAAATGAATATTTTCATATTGGCAAGTGCATGCATAACTATGTTTTGGTTGGGTTGAAATGTGTTTTATTGGAATTGGGATGTTGTGAAGTTTTATTGATTTTATGTCGTACTTTGATTACGCATGAAGGATATTGGGTATTATTAATATGAGTATAAATATATGGTTTGAGATATGGGATTTGTGTGACTAGACACCATGTATTGTACCTTCTCCTGGTTCGTTATGAAAAGGATGATGGAATCATATAAAAGAATTATTGTTGGTCTTTGGGACCCATCAGGGCACACATATACTTTTTGGGAGGTGTGTCAATATGTTAGTCTATGCGTATAATTGGATTAGATGCATATGCGATGAAGGTCCCGGCGTACGTGCTATGGAGCAATAGTCCCTCGGTTGGATTGCTCATCCCTAGCCACTTGTAAGATGCAGGATCCTGACATGTGGTTGAGAATAAATGATCCTCAGGTTGGATTGTTTTCCATGGTACATATCTCTTAATGTGTGTGTGTGTGTATATATATATGTATGTGTCATGAGAATTTAAATGTTTCAAGTATAGAATGGTATATGGATAAACATGGATTTTATTGCATAGTTTACATCGTTTTTCTAAAACGGTGGGATTAGTATGCTCAAATATAATTTATGTTATAAACTTTATTTTTGTCCACTGACAATTTCCTGTTTTGAGCCCCCCAAAGCTATATCTCGACGAGATTCACCGGTCCACGTCAAGTATTCTGTACAGCACACGCCACTTCTTGTAGTATATTCATTTATTTCATTTTTAAACTCTTAATACTTCTATAAATTAAAGTTTTATAGAAAGCTCTGATATTGCCCATGTACGGTTCAATTTTGAAGCCGGAGGCCTATGTTGTAAATTGTGTGCTTTAGCATTGTGTGTGCTGCTGTTTGGATTATTTATCGCTTATTTGGAGGTATTTATAATTTGGGAATATCCATTTTTTAGGGGAGATTTTGCCGAAATTTTGGTTGAAATCTTGACCCAATTTTTGTATAAATCGGGGGCGAAATGGTTATGTTAGTAAATGGGCCTGGCATTGGGCAAATGCCTAACAGAAACAGAGTTTGTCACGGATTCCAAGGGGGGAATATGGGACGGGTCCTGTCATTGTCAGTAATGTGCCTCCCAGGCACAAAACTGACCTGACTGGGGCTGATCAAAATAGGCATAATAGGCCTCAGTCAAGCAACCAAAACCTTAGAATTGACTTTATATAAGGTACAACACAGACTAATGGACCTAAAATGCAATATGGAAGAAGGATTATCAACTTTAGGAACCAAAGTGATCAAGGTAGAGTTCAAACCTTCTGGAATCTTGCAAGAAACAAAAGCTTGACTGATTTTGGAAGAAACAAGCAAGAGAAAACCATCAACTTCATGGGCTTTTAGACCACCAATATGAAACAAACTCTCTTTGACCTCAAGAAAATCAATGCTTCTTACAAGATTGGCCAAATCAATAGCCTCAATAATAGGAAACAAATTAGGATAAGATCCCAATTGATGCAATTACGTTGCTCATGAACAAACAACCCCAAAAAATAATTAACAGCAAGCTCCTTAAGACCAACAACTCCTTCAATCCACTCCCCATTATCACCTTTCAATCTTTCAATCTTTCAATCTTGTTTCTTATTCTTCTTATTAAGGTGGCGAGGTGAAAGAATTTCGTATTTTGATCACCTTCTTGCAGTCACTTCACACGAGACTTTTGTTGCCAAAACAATGCCTCCTGCTCAAGGACACTACTATACTTATCAATAAGAAAGATTTCCAGGATATCAAGGAAACAATTATTGCCTTGACAAATAGCTTTATGGATACCAGCCAAACGAACTAAAAGCCTAGCCTTCCTTTGCCTTAAGTGCCCAAAAACAATGGAGTTCCAAAGCAACAAAGGCTTCACCAAAGCACAGGTTTTATCCAAAACAGACCCATCAATAAGAGCCCATTGCTGATTAAGAAAATCCTTAAAGTGGTCATGTTCCAACCACATAGCCTCAAACCGAAAAGGTCGCAAATTAAGAGAAGAAGAGAAACTAGACTTGAGGCTTATCTTAATAGGACAATGGTCATATTTGGTTTTCAGCAATGCTTAACAAAAGCTTCAGCAAAAACCCTTTGCCACTGTACATTACAAACGGCTCGATCAATTCTTTCAAAAACTCTTTTATTACTCCAAGTAAATTTAGGACCAGAATACCCAAGATCAATCATCATCAAACCACTTTCTGAATCTTTAAGTCTACAAAGAGGAGCTCCCCCTAATTTATCATCATAATTTAGCATGTCATTAAAGTCCCCAGCAAGAATCCAAGGCAACTGGTGACATTCAGAAACAAACATAACTTTTATCGCTTAGAACTACAAGCTTGGCATAAATTGCAGTAAATAACCAAGGGTTTTGACCAGGCCAAGCAATAGAAGCATAAATAGTTTGATTAATAGTACCAATTGCTTCAACTCTCACCTTACTATCATTCCACAAGAGCCAAAGACCACCAAAAAAACCAACGGGATCAACCACATCGTTGAAGGCATTGCTTACCACATTCCCATTGGAATCATTCACCTTACCTGTTGAGATATCCATCCCTTCATCAAAAAGCAAACCATCATGAAGAGAAGAAGCAACATAATCCTCATCATCCTTAGGATCACAATCCTTTCCATGATGATCACCATTATTAGCTATATTTGGAGGTTGATGTCCAAATGTATAGACAGCCTTCTCCTGGTACAAACTCTGACCCTTCCCCCAAGAATCCATGTAAGCATTCACAGAGTCGAAAACAAAAGCTCTGCTATCATCCACAACCTTCATGCCTTTATTGCTCACACTACTTTTAGAAAACCCAGAGAAACCCAAATTTGTTTTACCACCAAATAATCCTGAAGCCATTGGCTTACTAGGCTGTTTAGAAATATCACTAAGCACATCCCTGTTTCCAACATTAGTTTGCCTAGCCTTAGTCCAAACTTTCTTTTCAAAACCAGCACCATTTTCAGAAACATAAGACTTCCCTGTAGTCCCTTGAATTGCCATACCACCAGAATCAACATTATCAAAGCCAAAATCTTCACTAACCTTCCTCAAAGCATCAAATCAAGAGCCTTGGTTCTTAGAGCCAGATCTTTGATTACCCGTCCCCTTAGACATATTCTTTGGTCGCCTCCTTGGTAGGACATTCATCCATGTACCTTGAAGATTTTCTAGCTCCTTACTATTCTCTTCCTAACCCATAACAATATCTGCACCCACCTTCAAACTAGTTGTAGACGAGTCTGCCCCAGGTTGTCTTAAGCAAACTTCTCTTTCAAAGTACAATGCTCCCTTTTATGACCATAATGGCCACACAAATAACAGATATCAGGAAGACCTTCATACTCTATGTTATACCACACTTGGTTAATTTGAATAAAAGCCTCAAGAGGTTTCGTGAGGTCCAATTCCACACATAGTCGAGCAAATTTACCCCTATTCTGAGTAGTAGTCAGAGCGTCAATCTTAAGTAACTTACCCAACAAATTTCCAATCCTCTTTAAAGCCCAATCATTTTAAAGAAGAAGAGTACCATTGTCCTTTCAGTGATTATTTTAAGTTGTGCCAATAAATCCGGGCCTCCTCTTTGGCCTAATCCAAAGCAAAATTTGATTCCTAAGTATTAAAACCCAAACAAAAATACTCTATGTCTCAAATAATAATTAGTAAGGATAGTTATATCTAATACCCAATCTTCAAATACAAATACTAGAGTATCATAATAAGAAAAACACAAAGCGTTGCAGTTTCTATTTTATAAACCTAAAAAAATACAAATACTAGAGTTACATAAAAGTAAAAAATGTGTTGCATTTTCTATTCTATAAACCTAAAAATACCAATATAAGAGTAACATACACACTACATTGTAGTGTCTATTGTATAATTCTAAAAATACCAATATAAGAGTAACGTAAAAATACAAACTACATTGCAATTTATATTTTATTAGTCTAAAATTACCAATATGCGTAACATAAAAATATACATTGCATTGGAGTTTCTATTGTATAAACCTAACCCAATTGTGATTGTTGTACATGGTGTTTTATTTATTTGTATTTAATTGTTTTTTTTTTTGTGGTTTAAATTATTGATGAGACTCTTAAACAAATGATAATAATGATGATTTTTGTTTCTAAAGCCAAATAGTAAAATCACAATCAAGTCACAAATTAAAGAACAAATTCTAATTGTTGCGCGTCGTTAGCTTTGTGTGTGTGTGTATATATATATTGTTTAAAAGGATTAAAACTTGTAAATTTTTATAAATTTAAATTGATATATTTATGTAAAATTAGAGAGCATGAGAGCTTGTGTATAAATGGTTCTCGAATCGGTATTAAAATGAATATTTTCTTTAAAAAAATTTACTTGTAATATTAATATTTTGCAACTCTATCACACAAACAAGTTGGTGTAGTGGTATGGGATCGAGGTTTCCTCCTTTGAGTTTAGAGGAGGCGGTCGCCGACGGGGTAGATTGCCAACGGAGTTGGGCAAACAAGGTGGTCGGTCGCCATAGTTGGTCCTTGGTGCTGTGGCTGGCCGCCGGATTTTAATCGGAGCGCCACCTGAGTTGGCCTCCGAAAAGGTGACTCACTCAGCAGAAAATTGCCATTTAAATGAATATGTTTAAAAAGTATAATTTTTTGTTGTTTTACATTAATGTAATTTTGGAGGGTAATATATAGTGGTTGACCTTATCCAAATTAGATTATTATCTACCACAATAGTAAACTCTATTAAATTTAAACCAACGCTCCCTTGCTTTATATATATATATAGGACTATTCTCTAGTGCGGACGTCCGGAACTGCTTAATGTCTGGACTCGTTTTGTTTTTTTTCACATAATCAGAATGAATTCATTCATTCAATGGAAAGGAAACCATTTCCATTTTGTTTTATGCATCTCTCTTTTTTATCATTAAAAAAAAGGCACTAAAGCACACATAACAGCCTCCAAATTCTTTATACAGTTCACCAATGAAGGAAAAGCCCAATCTAGAGGTGATGTTTGACTTTTAAGTATTGGCAGAGCATGGTTTCTATTCTACCTTTACCCAGAAAAGTGATAAAAGTGTTTGGGTTGATTTATTAGCACAAAGAAGGCAAAAGTCCGGACGTTAGAAAAAATACGGATGTCCGTAGTAAAGAACAACTCTCTCTCTCTCTCTCTCTCTCTCTCTCTCTCTCTCTCTCTCTCTCTCTATATATATATATATATATTAAGCACACAAAAAACAAATAAAAAAAATTGAATCTTTGTTTTCAATGAAATTCCAAGTCAGTAAGGAAGAAGAAGGTGATGAAGAATCACAGAATCTCCACTCCCAAACCTTTGAAAAAAAATTATTAATATAGATGGGTTAATCGTTTTATTAATCCCTGAATTTAGACTCGATTTGCATTTTAGTCCTTCAATTTCCAAAATAGTTCCAGTGGTCCTTTAACTTCACTTTCGTTATGATAAATGATCATGCCGTCAATTTTGTTAACTTTTTCTGTTAAATACAAGAGCAAAATGATATTTTTATATTAAAACCAAAAAAATGAATAATATCTTGAAAATAACAATAAAATAAAATAATAAAAAAAACCAACAAAAAATATATCATGTTTGGGGGGAGTAGAAATCAAGATAAAGGGGGAGAGAGAGTTTAATTTTAATTTTTTTTAATTTTGTCTTCATATTTTTATCAATTTTGATACAAAAATATCATTTTGCCCCTGCATTTAACAGAACAAGAAGAACCATTTTAGAAATTAAGGGACTCAAATGCAAATCAAGTCTAAATTCAAGGACTAATAAAACAATTAACCCTAAAATCTAAAAAACCCAAGACGAAGTCAGAGGAGTGGAGGAAAATAATCAATAGAGGGGCTAAAAACAATAACAACATGGGGCTAGAAATAATATGAGAGGCTAGAAAATAATTAATAGAACTATTCAACAATAAACCTAAAATCATTTACATAGAGCCTAAACTTTATGGTTAACACTAACAAAAGGGCAAGAGTTAATGTGGTACTTCTTTTGTTGGGTTTACCCAAAATCTAAATTTCCATACAACCCTAAGCTAACAGAATACTGAATTTATACAGTTAGAAAAACTCTGCCCGAAAGCCGTTCAGGTGATAGTGGCAACTATTTCTGATGCTTAATTGTCGCATGCCCTTTACCATGACGCCAAATTCCATGGTTTTCAAGAAATAGTTGCACAGAAGCAGGTACATTTGTTCTCAACAATCCAAAAACCGACATTGTACTATTGAACAGAAGCTTCGCGAATCCATCTATCTCTGATTCATACTGCTCGTAAATGAAAAACAGAGTGAAAGCGAACACCAGTGCTGCAAAATATTTCCAATAAGATCAATATGAAGTTACCAAGTTCAAATTAATAAGAGATTGATTAACTCTAGCATGGTGAACTAGCATTCCCTTACCTACACCTATCACCACAGTCAAGGTTTGTGACGAAATCAGCTTGAGAAAATAGAGGGAAGCTGCAAACTGTATTGATTACAAAAGATTATTGTAAGATATTAGCACGAGAATAACTGCTGTCAATGATGCTCTCTCAATCTTATAAAGATTGCATATAGAAATATAAAAATGTGCTTATAAAAACGAAAGATAATTGATAAAATAAAAGAGGTTTAATCATGGTTATTTTGAATAAATGAAATGAAAGAAAAAGACAAAAAGAACTTACATAACAAAAAGAGTGTACATATTTAGGATAACTAACAATATCCAATGGATTTAGCATATTACACAAAGTAATGCTGAGCTCCTTACTCCTTATAGATCAAGTTGATGCAAACATTTTGTAGACAAATAAATATAAGGGAAAAGAAAAGGAAACCAATACGAACTTCTTTGAACTGGATCTGCAATTCAGCTTTGGTCAAAAGGACCAAGCCTTGTCAAAGGTCATTCAGGGAAAAAGACAAACTTACATGTTCATACTTCACGCCTCAAGAACAATAATAATTTCCTTAGGCTGGGATACATGATTGAACTTTCGTATTTAGATTTCTCCAAAATCATCTACATATTATTTAAGCCATAGATTCCATTTAAACTACAAGAAAATGTCATTCCTTGACACAAATAACAAACTATAAAGCAAGGACCACTTCCGACAATTCAAATACCAAGAGCAGTCTAGAATTTCAAAATCAATGAAGACACCCAATTATCATTTCGCCAACAAGTATTAAAAGTAATAAGGGACACAATCGGACTGGGAAGTAGCGTTAAAAGGTTATTAACTAGTACTCCCATTTGATGTATTGACCTTGAACAGTTGAAACTTAATAGTTAATTTAAATAGTAGGTATAAAAGTTAAACTGAATAGTCAAATTTTCCTAATACACTTATGTTTTAGCAACTACACCTGCAAAGCTCATACCCTGTGCCCAGGAAAGGTTACAGACAGAAATTACATAAAGCATGATTTGGGCAAATTTTGCAGTGACATGCACTTCACTAAAAATAACAAATTATCATAGTCCATACCTTGAAGAAAATATCCCAATCATCCCCCTGGGCCAGTCGTCTCATATAACCAACCCCTCTGTTCCACAAATATGCTATGGTTGCAATCATATCTTTCACTACCATTTCAGGAATCTCAAAACAAGATAAAGATAAACTCTTGACAGTAAGACCCAATCTGTTCAAAAGGCATTATGGTCAGTAGATATAGGAGGAATGGATCTCTTTTAGCATTTAAGAGGTTAATCAAGCTAAAGGCTTATAAGTATCAATACTTACATCTTTGGTGGTAGAATTCCATATCCATAAAGGCCAAATGAAACTAAGAGCAGAAGCTTGGATACAGATGAGGCAAAAGTTCTTCCACAAAGGAAAAACCAGTAAAACAATAGAATCAAAGCAAGAAAATAAGTAAAAGATTTCTTCTCATCACGCCACAGCAAAATGTCTGCAACTGCAGGCAATACATTTCAAGGTCATTCTACAATCGCAATCAAACATTTTACGATAGCAATCAAACAATAAACACCTTCTGATGAAAGTGTCTAGAATGCATTTTTTATTTATAAGAAACAAACTTTCATTGAAGGAAAAAGAAGAGTGAAAAAAGAGAGGACAAGGTCCTCGGGCCTATACGAGCGCATATGATGGATCATGTTTGATCCAAAGACGTGTTCCAAAATGCAAATCCTTCCTGGTGCTAACTCGGTACGTTTGACATTATCCAAAACCCTGTTCATGAGCCTAAGTAAAGCTGTGGACTAAATTACATATTACTTAGTATGGCACCATGCAAGAACAAATTAACATGTGACGTGTACCACTCTCACCAAAATCAGGCACAAGGATCCAAGGCAAGAAGCCCAGCCCTACCCAGCTAGAATTTTTGTTATAAGGAGTCAAAAAAAACATCTGGGACACAACACCACACTCCCCCCCCAAAAAAAACCACCACCACAAAAAGAATATTGAAAATAATGTGTAACTGATAACAAAATAGAGCACAAATAATATGGTACAACGGAAAACAACCTTCTCCACTGCCTAGCAGCTTCTCCACTTTTGATTGCTCATTAAAGTCACTGTAACTTGTGAAAGATGAATATTTGGCTAAATGAGAGAATGATTCAATGGTTAATTTGACACCCTCCTGTACACAGGTAACCAGCACAGACGAACAGAAATTTATACCTTGAATTTTCATGCTTTGCAATAAGAAATAAATATATGACAATACACACTAATGCCAACTTCATATCTAACAATCATTAGGAAAAATCATTTTCAAAACGAAAGGAATAGAAACCAGCCTTCATTGAGCTTCTTCTATGTCCTAGAAGCAATCAAATACAGCTCAAGATGCAGATTACAATATGTGCCTGGACAAGGAACATATTGGGGCCTGACTAGCCAAGACAACTTTTAAAGGTCAGAAGGTTCAATTGAAAATCTAACAGGGTGTTATCCATGCAAAAGAGAAGTTTCAAGAGAAAAACATAACAGACAGATCTCTTCCATTGGACATGGCAGAGAGAGGTTGCAACTGAATGAACAATAACAGCGATTTCAAGCTTTTGCAGGCCCTCTGATAACAATATGTACTTGCAGGTCTTAAGCAAGACAAATGAATTTTTGTAGATATCATGATTAAGTCTCAATTCGTGAAAATTTATATTTGATAGAAGAACAAAAAAAACAGCTAAACCGAAAAGAGAAGGTTCAAAAACAACAAACGGAGAGGACAAGAATAGATGCATGAGAAAGACATGAAGGATAGACAAAAATAAACGAATGACTTACTTCCAGTGAGACAACTGGTGAGTACCCAATCTGGTTTCGAGCAGCAGTGCAGTCAAAAGTTCTAGTATGTGAAGCTAATTGAGTGTAATGAGCTGACATTGAATGGTTGTGTTTTATGAATCCATACTTTTCAGTCATCAATTTGAAGAACAAAAGAATATACCGAGCCATCTTAGCAGGAACTTTCACTAATGGCCTGCAATCATTGGGAAAAAGGAAACAAAACTGAATTCAAAAGAACAAAGAAGATCCCAAACAAACATCAAAAGAATAAAAACCAAGAGTGTCTCCAGCACTTTAGTCCACAGCAGTATTCAAGCGAAAGCACATAGAAGATGCCAAAACAGAAGATCACATATTGGAAGCAGCAAAATGTGAAGATAAAATTAAATTAAATTGGTCAATTTAGGATTTGAAAAGAAACTAATTTTTTCAATATTCATAGAAACGTAAGTGCTTGTCATTTCATGCTCGTGTGAATCATGGGTTGACTTGGAGTGATTCCAAAACAACTACAATGTGATGCTGAAGGCTGATACAATGACAATTTTTATAAGCTATCTATCTGTTCCTTTATAACCTAAAATCCCCCAAACCAGCTTTGCAGGCTCGCGTTAAGAACTGGGGACCCATACCAAACCCAAAAACTCTTCGGGAGGGACGAAACTCTAACAAATAGCTAGATAGGTACCTAGAGAAATAAAACCCCAGACAATGTGGGAGCAAACCACGGGCCTGATCACTCAACTAAACCCTCATTGGTTTTCTAATTTCTATATTGGAGTGATTCCAATTCGCCTTTGGGCCAATTAAATATGCTGGAGTAGGTCTCTATCTCTCTTCCCTTCCTTTCTCTCACCAGTGTCCTACATCAAATAATGCATGCAAGATGAGTGTAAAATCTCTCATAGAAGAATATAAGAATGCTTGATTTACCTTTGATATCCCAGGCCTTCCAAGATGAGTGTTACAAACTCCCAAAAATTTGCAGGCTCAAGATTTGTGATGAAAAAAGCCTGCAGATTGATTACAAAGGAATACATCCTTATCCATGGACCTAGTAGAAACAGAAAAATTAGATGCTTTACACACCCAAGAGACTCTAATTGTAGGAGTACCTTTCCAGCCGCAGAGACCATCCGGTTATCCAGAGCTTCTTCTGCACAGATATGAGCATGAGTAACATTCTCAGCGTATGTAAAATCCGATCTGTTTTCGCCACTCCCTATAATAAACTGAAATGAGAATCTATGTTACTTTAAAAGACTGAAAGACTGTTTTTCATGTCTTAGAATCTCACGACTACGGAAGGATAAGATATTAAACCACATGATGAACAAGTTACTATCTGCAGCACATGCATAACTTGCCCCTATTTTGGGTGTAAAAAATACAGAGAAAGAAAAAAATGGTAAAGGAAGAAGAGGAAGAGAGAGAGAGAGAGAGAGAGAGAGAGAGAGAGAAGGGAATTATTATACATTTCAGTTGGTATTAATTGTTGGTGATATACAAACATCAATTATGTATGATACAAAACTAAAGCTCCAACGTTAACAAAGGATATGTAAAACAGTAGATGTGATCAAATGAACAAATAGTTAGATTCCCTTTCTCCAAATCTTTCGTTTACCTTTCCCCAGCCAGATTTTGCCAAATTAACTAAAAATGGCACAAGATGTGAGTCTCCATGTCCAAATACATTGCTAGGCCGAAGTGCACATGTTAAAAGACCATCAATGTCATTAGAACGCAGGACAAGTGCTTCTGCTTGGGCCTTGAAGTCACTCAACATATCATCAAACTGTAGCAAGGATCAGAAACCAAATAAGAAAGAAAGTTTAGTAGAAAAGAAAAATTAGGCAATGTTCCACTATTAACATGAACAAGAAGTCCATTGACAATGACCATACTTTCCAAGGGTAAGGCAAGGATTCATCTCCGTTATTTATATCATGCAATCCATCAAAAACTACATCTGCAGAACTGTTGTATATTAGCCGTCTAACTTTGCACTCTCGACAAGCACTGATAACATTTTTTGCACCTAAACAAGTATTTTAGATGAAATTAATCAGTAATTCCACCAAATTATGCATGCCAAAAAATGGGATTTGTTCCTTCATAAGTAGGGATGTACCTTGAACAACAATCATATAGCAGTGGTAAAAATCGTCTGTACGTAAATCAGCCCCATCGAAATAGAACACTACAGATGAACCTTCGATAGCTGCAAGAGATGTCAGTCATAATATCCACAGTTAATTTCGAAAATCAAGTTTTGATATTATAGGAAATGACAAAAATCTCCTAACCAGATATCAAGGGAAAGAAGTTACCCATATAGCTAAAGGCAAGGGCTATCAAGTACTGCTCAGATTATATCCCATCAAATTTCATCATAACTATTTTACCCTTATTTCTTAAATGGAAGAAAAAAAAATGAAAACTTACAATTTTCTTCTCTCCTGTTCCATGACCAAGGTGGGGTTCATCTGGCCATTAGCCGGTTTATGGTAGATAGCTTTTTAGGGATTTTAAGTTAAAGAAATTTTGAAAAGATTGCAAATAATCAAGGGTAAGATGATATTAAGGGACCTTTTGTACCAATTCTCAATTTATCCTCTTACCATGTCCACATTTCATTCCTATTTGGATTCCATTCTAATGGTCACTCAGCAACCAAACACTACCTGAGTAAAACATTGGCATTGAGGTATGAATCAGACGTTTTGACAAATACAACATTTGTAAATCAGACGTTTTGACAAATACAACATTTGTAAATCAGACGTTTTGACAAATACGACATTTGTACATTAATTTTAGGTTTATTTGTCCATTCCTTCAGTCTGGTTTCCCATAATTCTTGAAAGATTTTATCTTTTTGTTTTTCATGGTTATATCTCTTAATCCCATTAATTCTTATTTCTACCTACTTTTAATGTTGAAAAACTCCTAATACTTTCGAACTCTGTTCAACTTTTATTCTAAATTGCATTTTTCACCCCGTTTTAATGAAAACTATAAAACGAATTAATAAATCAAAACCTAATACTTAAAGCCGGAATCAAGCACTTGCACCAGTTCAGTCCTAAGCCTACAAATTCTTTCAAAATTTTCTCGCATTTTCTCAGACAGGAACCAACCAAACACGAACACAAACACGAAAAGGAAAACAAATGAACAAAGAAACTCCGAAAATATTTTACCAGTGATGATTTGAGACTTGTCGCGAACATCGACGCCATGTAAGGAAGCGATGCCAGAGGAGAGAGCTTGCGAAAGGAGCGAGTCGCGCTCGGAGGGATCGAGATGGAGAGACTGAGTCGAATCGGCGACTCGAACGATCCACTTGCCGAGTTTCAAGAGCCTGAGGACCAGCGATCTCCCGAGGAAGCCTCGGCCACCGAAGACCACGCAGGTTCTCGGCTTAGGGTTCAGCTCCGCTAACCGATCGTCCATCGCCATTTTCGCCAGAAACCAGGGATTTTCTAGAGAGAGAGAGTGTGTGTGTGTCTGTTTGGCGCGGAAATTAGAGTGAAATGGTGAGTCGTGATTTGTTTGTTTCTTTACGCTACTGAGGTGGGGTCCATAGGGTTTAGGGTCCATATCGACCCCAAAAAAAAAGAAAAAGAAAAAAGTAGGGTCCATAAATCGGGTGCGCGCCGCTTTCGGCCGTTTTTTTAGGTCAATAAACTGATAATTGGATTGCGAAAGTGGTTGGCTTGGCTGCCTCCTCACTCGGATCCTTTTTGTTTAGGTTTTTTCACCGATTTATGCTAATTTCACTGACAATTTTCTCCTAATTTTTTTTTGGGTACTAATTTTATTTTATTTTGAAATTTGAACTATTTTTATTTTATTTTGAAATTTACTAAATATCGTGGATTGTTTTTTATATACATTTTGCCCAATTTTTCATCCAATAGTGTCACATGTAATATTATCTTGTGATAAATAAATAAATGAAATATGTAGAAGATTCGCTAATTAAAACAGTTTAAGTCCCCACATTTTCAAACAATTAAAGCCAAAATGGCAATCCAATTAATGTCAATTAAGTAAATGTTTCTAAACAAGAGGATGAATCGAGAGGAATGGGTGGCAAAAAAAAAAAAAAAAAGGAATGGGAGAAATATATTAAGTAGTTCCTCAGTTGAGTGGTAATTTTAAAGCCTTGTTTGGTAATCATTTTATTTTGAATTTTTAGTTTTTAGTTAAAGACTTAAATATATGGAAGAAATGAAAGGAGAGGGATAGAGAACGTAAGGAGAATTTATGAAGGAAAAAAAAAAAAAAAAATTTGAAATTGCTTTTATTTTTAAGGTTTCAATTTTCATTATGACTAGTATTCTCTAGTCCCTTATTCTTTATTCCTCCTTACTCTTTCATTATTTCTCTCATATGTTATTTCTTATTGTAGGGGACTTTTTCCTCCAGCAGCTGCAAATGGGCTGGGCTGCTGTAAAAGGGCAGACTGATGAAATTGTCCTCTTTGCTTGAGTTCGAAAATTAAGCCCCAAAATACCTTGAAAGGGCAGTAGAGCCTTAGGAAGTATTTTGGTTACCTTCACCAATCAAAATAATGGCAGCTTACAGGTAATTTCTTCATGCTTATAGATAAACTCTCAAGCTCAGCGTGAGTGGCATGTGGCATGGGAGCAAAATCAACATGAGTTTAGCACTAAGAGAAAATTTAGGCTTGCTTTGAGGGAAAAGGAAGTGTTAGGGTAAGGAATGAGACGTTTTGTAAGAGATTTGGCTAGGAAAGGAAAAATGAAGAGCAGAGTTCTTCCTGCAGCTGCCAGAAGAGCAAAATGGAGAATAAGATAAACAGTGCCCGAGATTGCTGGGTTTTTGTAAGTTAGAGAGAAAGCTTGCTCTCTGGGTCTGAGTTGTGGCTAATGGTGAAGTATTTGGTGGTTTGGGTAAGTTTCCAGCAGCCTGACAAAAGCTATGTCATATTCTAGAATGGCATGGCAGAATGGAAAGTGGGAGGAGATGGAGGAATAGGGCACGAAACTGCAAAGATTTCATGGTGAGAGATGAAGCTTGCTCCCTAGATGTGGGTTCCTTTCGTTGGGTTGAAGAGGCCTCAATTTATAGCAGTTGGAAACCATCACTTCCCAAGAAACCCTAATGGATTCCATCCCATTTTGTCAAGTCTTTCCCTTCCTTTCTCCCTTCATCCCTTCAATCATAATTTTTTGGTGAAATATTCTCTGCCCATTTGCACAAAATTAGGGATTTTTTTGAGCTCAAGGCCCCCTTTCCTGCGGCTATTTCAGACTCCTATTTTCAGCCATCTTTCTTCCTTATTTTCTCTCCTCTTCCAAGGCTAGGTCTGATGAGGGAAGGAATTGAATATACATGCTGGTTCAAAGGGTGCTTCTGGCAGCTCGCAGGCTAATATTCTTTGGTGCCAAGATGGTTTATCAAGCAAGTGGGCTATTTAAAACGTTTGGGCTTTTTAGTTGAGTCAATAGGCTATTTTGATTGGGCTTATTTTTGGTTGGGTTATTTTTGGTTAGGTTATTTTGCTTGGGCTATTGGGCTACTTTTCTCTCTTGTGCTCACCCACATATTTGGGCCTAAGAAATGGGCTTGAGTCTCGAGTCTCCCAAGCAACCCAAAAATTTCCATTTCTTGGCCCATCAATGGGCCTCATGTTAATTTATTACCATCCATACCACAACCCACTCAAGTAAGCCCCGGGCATTTGAGTGGCTTGGGCCCACTTAGGCTTGTAG